GTCTTCCCGACCCAGGAATCAAACCTAGGTCTCCCACATTGCAGGCAGACTCTCACCTTCTGAGCCACCAGGGAAGCCCTAAGCGCATGTGGGGGTCGCGAACAGCACCCTCTTAGGGCCTCTGACCACTGGGGAAGCCTCACACCAATATCCTTGTGTCGGAATGGGTCTTGTTCTTCCTCTTTGCTCCTCAGAGGTGTGGAGGACAGATGCCCCGAGTGCTGATGAGAAGGACAGGACGTCGACGGACCTGGGAAGGGAGTCCAGGACACGTGGCTGAATCTGGATTTGAAGTTCAGAGACCATCTTCAGGTCCTACTTCGGCCCCAAACACCGTGTGACCCTGGCCATGCGACCCCGCCCCTCTGCGTGCCTCAGCGGGCTCCTCCGTCTACACGGGAGGAGCCCACATACGGGTCTGGATAAGGTGTCATCCCAGTTCCGACTTGGGTTGGCGCCTGGGTCTCTGGCAGCTGCAGCGCCGGCCGACGTCCCCGTGGATGCCGGTGGTGAGGCTGCGCCGGGGCTCCTGGCTCTCAGCCGCGCCGCCTGCCGCCTTCAGGTCCTGAGTCATCTTCCAGGCAGCGTGTGACCTCTCCGTAGCCCTGTCTCCCCCCAGCCCCGTGACCCCGGGCGGCGCGCAGGACCAGGCCGTCCCAGGCGGGCGGCATGAGGGAAATCACAATATTGACCCAGCACGCAGGAAGTGGGGAGGACAGGCCGCTGGGGTTCCGGGCCTGGGGGAGACAGCTCGCTGAGTGATGAGCTTGGAGCCAAGCTCTCCCTCCCGCCTGGGTCACCGCAGCTGCCCGCCCGCCAAGGCTATTCCTCCCGGTTCCAGGGCCCCCTCCCCGGACCTCCCTCCTCCACATTCCCGGGGCTCAGGCCCTGGAGCAGAGCTGGTGGTGAGCCCTGCAGTCTTCTCAGACCCCCAGCTTTCCTGCAGATGAGGTTCAGGCTCCCCCCAGGCTTCCCAGAATCTGCAGGGCCAAACCGGGACCATATTCCCACGAGCTGTGGGTCTTTAGTATCGTCCCGCCTCCTACTTAAAGGATGGAGAAGCAGGCTCAGAAAGTTACTAGCCAGTCATGTCAGAGCCAGGATCGAGACTCAGACCTGCCCACCTCCAGAGCTCTGCCCAGCGGCCAGGAGTCAGCTCCTCTTGGTAGTGACAGTGGTGTGAATGACAAACCACTAGCTGGGTGAAGCTTTTGGTTTCAGGCCTCTCGACAATGCCATGAGGGGCTCAGGTGCTAACCCTGGCTTTGCAGGTGGGAGGAGTAAGGCTCAGAGGAGGTGACATGACTTTGCCAATGACACAGCTCGCAAGCAGCAGGGTGGGAATTTCAATTATGGTTTGCCTGATTCCCAAAAAAGTGAAAGGGAAAGTCGTTGAGTCGTGTCCGACTTGTTGAGATCCCATGGACTCTACAGGCCATGGAATTCTCCAGGCCAGAATACTGGAGTGGGTAGCTGTTCCCTTCTCCAAGAGATCTTCCCAAGCCAAGGATCAGACCCAGGTCTCCCGCATTGCAGGCGGATTCTTTACCAGCTGAGCCGCCAGGGAGGCCACTTATACTTTGTCTGTCCCTCCAAGCTATGGGGCAGGAAGGCCCCTTCTCGGTGGCCTGCTCCCCCGCCAAGCCTCAGGAGCACATTTGGGATCTGAGTTCCTGTGGATACTTGTATCCTCAAAGGGGTTCCCTGGGGCAGTCGAGCCCAAAGCCTCGCCCTCCGGTGGGGAAGGTGGGTGTGGCTTGGGGGGCGGAGCCCTAGGACTTGGAGAGGACCACCAGCCTGCTGGTGAGCCGCGAGACCCGCAGGTTTGCCCATCGGGAGGCAGTGAGGGCAGCAGAAATAGCCCCTGGCTGGGAGGTGGGAACCTGGGGCTCCTCCTGACCTTCCACGGTCTCTTCACCTAGAGAAGGGCTTGGGGGCCATTTGAAGGTCTACAGCCCAAGCCCAGACAGCGGGGAGGAGGGTGGGCTCCCGTCACTCACTCCCACACTCTTCCTATGGGCCGGGGGTGTGGGGACCCAGCTCCCGTGTGCGGTCGTGAGACTGGGCTTGGATTTCATGTCCCGGGCTTCCTCTGTGTGCAGTTGCGCGTCAAAACCTGCCATTGTGCTTATTCCAGGCTGTTGCAGAGGATGTCACCTGACTTACTGCAGGGCCCCATATGAGGAACCACAGGAAGAATTCACTTAGAATTCCGTGTCGGCGATTTGCATGAAGCCTGAGGAACTGGTATCATTTTGTATCACAGACACTGGCTGCATGTGTGTGTGTGCATTTGAGTGCATGCCTGAGTTCGCTTCTTTGTTTCGCCCACCATGAAGCTCGGGGCTGAAACAGTAACGCAAAACAGTGCAGGGCTCCCCGATCCTGCTTCATGCCCCCCGCTCCCCTCCACGGGCTCCAAATCATAATAGTTATTTATTGAGCACGTATTGTGTCAACCCTCCACTAACCAAGTATCTCCTTTCCTTTGTACCGAGGTAGAACTTGAGTCTCAGGACACGGACAATGCACATCACGGATGGCCTTGAGTGCTGTCTGCTTTGGGCCAGTAAGGGACAGACTGGTGCAGATGCCTCATCTCTGCCTTCCCTCATTCATGTATAAAATTGCATGTATGTATGTATCCTATTTAACGACAAAATATTTCCTATTTTGTCTTTGTTGAAGAAGACTTCATATAGGGACTTCTCTGGTGGTTAAGAATCCGCCTTTCGAGGCAAGGGACAAGGGTTTGATCCCTGGTTGGGGAACTAAGGTCCCATGTGGCCATGGAACAGCGGAGCCTGTGTGCCAAGGCTAGAGAGTCTGTGCACTGCTGCGAAAGTTCCCCATGACAGAGAAGATTCCACGTGCTCCCACTAAGACCTGATGCAGTAAAGCAAATGTTAAAAAAGACTGTATAAATAAATAATGATAATTCATTGCAAATAATGAATAATTGCATGCACATAGGTTATATGACTAAGTCCTCAACCATATTCCTGTATACAGGGAGAAAATGGGTGGGTAATGACAGAGGCAGAAACTCAGGTTTGGGGTCAGGACCCCTGCGAGCTCGTAGAGCGTCTTTGTGTGTGTCTTAGAAACATGTGCCCGTCTGGGGGAAGGCTGCTTGGTCAGCAGCGCACACAATGGATTCGTCTCATCACCCCAGGTGCGCTTGATCCGTGCACAGTCTGAACCACCCTACACGGCAGTCCCGTTCTGCGTCTGGCCCAATCCCACAGCTACACTCCCCGACCCCTCACTCTAAATCCACCGCTCGTTTGACGGCACACAGCTCACAGACCACATTCTGGGTCCTGGACACCCCTTTGGGCTTATGGACAGATGGTGTTTGGTTTGAGGCTGCGCGAGGGGGTGGAAGGAAGAACAGCCTTAACAACTCAGCCAGTGTTTGGGCCACAAACAGGATCCTTTCTGGTGCCGGCCGCCTGCCTGCCAGGTTCCGGCGAAGACCCGGGGCTGTGAATAGCCCCAGTGAGGCCAACTCAGAGGACCTGCTGGGCTCCCGGGAGACCCCGTCTTCGGCCTCCGCCCGCAGCGCACGGCTGGAAACTCAGGACTGAAGCCTCCTCTTTGGCGCCTCCACCCTGCACGTTCCTTCCCGCTCGTTTTCCGCCCGGGATCACCGCTGGGGTTGGGCTTCTGCACACTGCTGCCGCGGAGGCCCCCACACGGGAAGCTTGAAAAACATCTCTCTGAAAGCAGAGAAAGTGTGAGCCTTCGAGAAGGAGGGTGTGGATGGAGAGACGTCCTCGGAGGAGGGGAAATTTACAGCGTTCATTTGGCTGGTTCTGAGGACATGGTGAAACCCACATGGACTGCCTTCCGGAGCTGAGTGCTGCTATGTCACTGCCTCTAATCGGATGTCAGCACCCGGGTGCCTTTGGAGAGTGCCTTCGCCACCCCCTCCTTTGACAGATGAGGAGACTGAGGCCCCGGCCGCAGAGTGACTTGCCCAAACCCTTACCATGGGAGAGAGCCCAGGAGCCAACCAGGCAGGCAGGGAGTGTTGTGCCGAGGTCTCTGGTCATCCCATCAGAGGGCTGAGAAGAGGTGCAACGTCAGGGGCTGCTCAGCTTGGCTCCACGGGCCAGTAGCCTGCGATGTGCCAGGCTCTTTCCTCAACACGTCAAGGACGTCCTATGAGGACAGAACAGAGAGACTGAGTCACTGGTTGAAGGTCACACAGCCCCATGGTGACAGAGAAAGCAATATGCCATAGCAGCTGGGAACCCGGCTTCGGCATCCAACATTCTGAGTTTTGGTACCATCGCCCACTGGCCCCGTGACCTCAGTCAAGTAACCCGTGCCTTCTGAGCCTCAGTTTCCTCGTCTGTAAAATGAGGGGTCATAACTGTAAAGCTGTTAGGAAGAATCAGTAGAATAGCACATGGAAGGTACTTAGCAGCGTCTTGGGATGTATTATGTTCAACATACGTTCTAGCATCAGTATGATGATCACTGCCTGGGTGATTGGCAGCTATAGCAGGCGTTTGTTGGGTTGGTCGCCAGAGTCTGACCCCTGCATTCCTTGGGGCGAATGGCCTGGCCCTCTGCGTGTCATCTGGTGGTGAAGGTGGCAGTGAGAGATAGTCCCTCTCCCGGAATAGAGGGGGCCTCCACCATCCTGTCCCTCCCCAGTGCGGCTCACAACCCTGAACTGACCGGCTGACAGTGTTCTGAGTCTGTGAGCCTTGAGCAACGGCTCCAAGTCAGTCAGCTGCAGGCGGGGACTTTCTTTTGTATCACAGTTGTAGCCATGTCCTGAGCAGCCATTGCCTGCGAGCAGGTGCTCATTTATTTGCTTAGCCTGTGGCTATCCTGGGAGCACCGCCCTGCACCAGGCGCTGAGCTGGGGGCCCTGGGAACAGTGATGCTCGTGCCCTGGGAAGAGTGATGCATCCCCAGCCTTCCTGAGCCGCCCAGGGGCCTGCCACTCCCGAGCCCACGTCTCCAGCCTCCCGTTGGCTCAGAGCGACCTGTCCTCCTTCCCGTTTCCCTTCTGCTTCCATCAGCCTGAGCTGACGTGCCAGAGCCTGGCCAATTCTGGGCAGTGGTGGAACTGCTCCTTGAGCCTGTCTCCAGAGTCAGAGTGCTGGCACCTGGCACCACCCTGCTTCTTGGGACCCCTGGTGACTCTGGTGTCTAAGCGCTGGCGGCCTTCAGAGTGCCTTGGGGAGGACCAGCCAGGCCACAAGATTCATCTGAGAACAGGGCATGACCAGGTCTTTGAGAACGCTACCAAACTGCCCGACATCAGTGGTTTTCAAGTTATATCTGAGAGCACTGATGCTCGGTAGACATCCCTCAAGGGAATGGCTGGAGGGCAGCGGGGTGCGTGGGTTCACCTTCCCTCTCTGCCACCATGCCTATTTTAACCAGAGTGGCTTTATTTTGCGGTTGTTTTTCAGTTGCTCAGTCGTGTCTGACTCTTTGTGCTTTATCTGGAGTAATATTTAAGAAGCATGGGCTCTGGAACAGTGCTGCCTGGGTTTGAGTCTTATCCCCAGGGCTCGTGAGCTGCGTAACCTTGAACAAGTCATTCAATTCTTCTGAGCCTCAGTTTCCCCATCTGTGAAATAGAAGTGATGATACTTCAGAGAGTTGCTCTGAGGACTGAAGGAGTGTGTGCTGCAAAATGCTTGCTGAAGCACTAGCCTGTGGTGAATAGTATCTTTCATAACACACTAGTTACTGTTGCTGCCTACTTTACATATTCCAAAGCAATATTCCATAAGGAAAGCAGAGGCCCTTTTTGATGCTCAAGGAATGGTTGAAAATATCTGTGCGCTGTACTCACCTGGGCATGATCCCCTGTACCTGGCTGGTTCTAGAGTCTCTCTCCAGCACGGTTCTCCTCCTTGGAACGTTCCAGCTCTCACAATCTGCTCTGGATCGTGTGAGGAGCCATTCCTCGCTGATGTTCGTGTTCTGAGCCATTTCGGGGCATCTGGCCATCTGACCACGTGCAGTAGCAGCTGCCCTGCTGTGGGGTTGAGCGCTCTGAGAAGCTGGGTTCTGGGCTTTTTTCTGCAAGAAGGCCCTTTGGTGTGGGTGTGTGGGCAGCTTCCTTGGATCCAGCGTCTCTTCGGCCCTCGGCGCTCTGCTCATGGGGCAGGCCCCATGTCAGGAACCTCCCCCTGAGCCTTAGAGGAGAGAAGGATTCTCACCGATCCCTGCCTGGTGAGGCCCCTCTCTCCCCAGTTTGGTCTTGGGGAGGCAGATTTGGACAGCAGCTCCTCGCTGATGGAGAGCAGTAGAGCCTCTGTTTTTCTCAAAGCTCACCTTTTCCCTCTCTTTGGCCAGAAATCGTGGCCAGGGAGGGGTTCCTGGTGATGGGTTAGAAAAGTTCCTGCCTATGCCCACTTGAGTTGAGGTGGACCTCACTGAAAATTGCACTGACATCGCTGAAACTTTAGGGCATCACTGAAAGTTTAAGAGGCTACAGCCGGATTTGTCCATGAATTGAGTGAAAAGGTCTGGAAATCTGAGCATCTTGTCCTTATCTCAACTGCTGTCTCTTGCTGGACTTCCACTCTCCTGTCTGAACCAGTTATACCTTTGGGAAGCAGAGGTGACTTCTCGGCTTGTTCTGAGTTCAGTGTGAGGTTCTGGGATGTAAAGATGCCCCACTTGGGGCACGTGGAGCAGAAATCTGACGAGCAAATGGATCTCTGCCAAGGATGGTGATGTGGAGTGCAGCTGTGGACTTGAACAGGACAAAGAATATGATGTAACTGTCAAGCATCCTGAAGAAGGGTGAGAAGATGGGAGTTTCTAAGAGAAGGTCTCACTTTTTCTTTTTTTTAGGATCTAAAAATAATCACAACATACTTTTATTTTTGATGACTTATTTATTCAATATTATTAACTTGTTTGACTGTGTTGGGTCTTAGCTGCGGCACATGGACCTTCACTGTGACTTGTGGGATCCTTCTTCGGGGCACACGGATTCTCTCGTTGTGGCCTGCAGGCTTTGTAGTGGCAGCAGGTGGGCAGAGGTGCTCCGTGGCAAGAGGGATCTTAGTTCCCCAACCAGGGATCAAACCCACGTCCCCTGCATTTCAAGGTGGATCCTTAACCACTGGACCGCCAAGAAGTCCGTTTATTTATTTTTAATGGGATTATAATTGCTTTACAATGTGATGTTACTTTCTGCTGTTACAACAACTTGAATCAGCTATATGTACACATACATCCCCTCCCTCTAAAGCCTCCCTCCCACCCCCATCCCACCCTTTCTGTCATCACAGAGAGCCAAGCTGAGCTCCTTGTGTGATACTGCAGCCTCCCACTAGCATCGGTTTTATACGTGGTAGTGTGTATACGTCGGTGCTACTGTCTCAGCTCATCCCAGCTTCTCTTTCCCTCCATGTCCACAAGTCCGTTCTCTACGTCTGCGTTTCTATTCCTGCCCTGGAAACAGGTTCATCAGAGCCATTTTTTTCTAGATTCCATACATGTGCATTAATAAACAATATGTGTTTTTCTTGAGAAAGTCTCACCTTTAATGCTGAGGAGTCAAGGGATCTTGTCTAAAGTTAACACATGAAGAAATAGAAGTACTATATATGGGTATGTAATGACCAGGAGAACTAAGACAAGAAAGAATGATAATCAGTCCCACTGAGTGTTCACCGCATGCCAGGTGTTGTTCTAAATGTGCAGGGATTCACTGAATCCTTAAACAGTCTTACAAGGCCGACACCGTTATCGTCACCCTCATTTCGTGGAGGGGGAGACTGAGGCACAGAAATGTTAAGTGACTGTAAAGGGTGGATATTGAATCAAAATCCTAAGATGTCTGACCCCCAGAGGCTGTAATCACCTCTTAACCATCCAAGATCTGGACTCTCGCAACTTCAAAAAAAGTTTTCTGGATAATGTAGCTGGGGTCTGCTAAGAGGGAGAGACTACTTCTTTTCCTTTTTTACTCTTTGCTACTAACATATTTGTTACTATTTGCATGAGTTACTTTGTTTCTACACATATACAAGTAAACTCCAAAGAGCACTAATTCCAAGTCAGACAAAGACAGTTCCTGTCCTGGTCCTGCTGCTTCCTGGTTGTGTGTCTTGAAATAAACTACTTAACCTCTCTGCCTGTTTCTTTCTTTGAGAAATGGGGATAAAAAAAAAAAAAAGCTGATAAAAGTGGAAAAATCTTAGGAAGCTCCTGGAGGCAGATCACTGAGCACAGGGTCTGGCCCCGAGTGAGTGCTCAAGAAGTGTCTGCTTCTATGAGGCACGGAGAAGCGGGAACCCGGGGAGGCTTCTCAGAGGAGGTGGGGTTTGAATTGGTTCTTGAAGGATGTGTAAGAGTGCGCTAGGTGGAAGGGCAGTCCAGGCAGAGTGAGCATGGAAGTCTGGGATTGTGTGTGGGGTGTGGGGACCCATGTATTATTCAGGAGGCCTGGAAGGTCAGACGGGAGCTGAGGGGGGAAGCGTCTGGGGTTCAGACCTGGGAGCATTGCAGGGCCTGGTCATGTAGCACTTTGAAGAGTTAAATTTATCCAGGACAGCAGGGGCCCGTGGAAGGGTTTGAGCAGGGCAGTGACCTGCTTGGCTTTAAGTGGTAGAAAGAGCGCTCAGCTATTCCAGGGAGAGTGGGCTCAAGGGGAGACCTGGGAGCCCATAGCTGTCGTCCAGGTGATGAGGCCCGGAAGAGGGAGATGGGGTATCGATGGTGCCCTCTGCCCTGCACCAGGCAGCCTCCGCTGTGGTCCCAGCTGGTCAGGGTGGCCAGGATGACCTCCGCCTCACAGCTCGAGGCCGCCGCTCTGAAGGCCCGCGGAGCTGGCTGGAAAAGAGGCTGGCTCCAGCCTGCAAAGGGGAAGCAGAAATATTTGCTCAGCTGCAAAGACAAGCTCACAAGGTCTTGCCTTCCACACAAAGGGGGATGACACTGGCCTGGGGTAGGGGGTCCGGCACGTCCTCCCCTCCCTCTCCAGGGCCTGCCCCTCCCACATCAGGCCTCGGAGCCGGTCAGAAACCATGTCCTTCCTCCCCCGGCCAAGCCCTCTGAGGTCTGAAGTCAGCAACCGTGACCCCTTTCCTCCTTTTCTTCTCTCATCACACCCTACCCGCCCAATGCTTTCATCTTTCCTCGTGTGACGACGACTGACCTTTATTTTTATTTTTAGAGAAAAGTCCAGATTCAGCAGTCATTGATTCCAACCTTTTTTTTTTTTTTTCAAACTGGCTGACACAGACGAAGCATCATCAGAGTTTAGAGCCAGGACTTTGATGTGAGGTGGCCTGAGCTTGAATCTCAGTTTGGCCGCCTCTCTGTTGTGTGACCTCGGGCAAGTCGTGGAATCTCTGTGAGTCTAAGAGTCTAAGAACCCCTTTCTCAAAGGGCTGTTATAAAGATTAAAAGAGGGATTTCCCTGGTTGTCCAGTGATTAAAAATCCACCTGCCGATGCAGGGGACATCGGGCTTGATCCCTGGTCTGGGAAGACCCCATGTGCCAAGGAGCAGCTGAGCCTGTGAGCCACAACCACTGAGTCTATGCTCTGAGCCTGTGCTCTGCGCAGAGGGAAGAACTGCAGTGAGAAGCCCATGCACTGAAGCTAGAGAGTAGCTCCCACTCGCTGCAACTAGAGAAAGCCTGCACGTGACAGTGAAGACCCAGCACAGCCCAAGAATAAACAAGAAAACAAAAAAATTTTAAAAAAGATTGAATGAGTAAGTATTTCCAAAGCACTAGGACAGTACCTCGTGCCTAGTAGGTGCTCAATAAATGCTGGCGAACATTTTCTGTGTCTCTGGACACCTAGGGTTTTTTCCATTTCCTCAAACACCATGGTCCCTGGCAGCTGTCCACTCATCGATTGTGACCTTGACTTCAGGGTGGGCAAGCACCAAGATGGCCTCGGTGATCCTTGCCTCTTGCTCTCAGGCCTCACGTCCTCCTCTCCCCTCGAATGTACTTGCTTCAAGTCAACCAAGTACAGCAGACGTGGTGGGAAGTCACCTCCATGATTATGTTACATGAGATCCTCGCTTGCGTCTTACTAGACGCTCCGTCTTGCTAGCTTGGACAGAGCCAGCTGCCGTGTTGTGAGCCGTCTAAAGAGAGGCCTGTGAGAGCTGAGGGTGGGCTCCATGGCTGGCAAGACAGCCCAGAGGGAGCTGAGACCTGCCAACTACCACGTGAATTTGCTAGTGGATCCTTCCCCTGTGATGAGCTCCCAGCCCAGCCCACATGGTGATTGCAGCCCTCCAAGTACCCAGCTGAGCCATGCCCAGACTCTGACCCACAGAAACTCTGAGTTAACAAATGCGTGTTGTTTTAAGG